ATCCCTGATCTCTCCACGACCTTTATCATGAAAGGTTGTTGGATTTTGTTGAATGTTATGATAGATTTTCATATGTTGAGCCAGTCCTGCATCTCTGAGATGAAGGTGACTTGATCATGGTAGACAATTTTTTGATGTGTTCTTGGATTCGGTTTGCCAGTATTTTATTGAGTATTTTTGCATTCATGTTTATGAGTGAGATTGGTCTGTAACTCTCTTTCTTGGTTGAGTCTTTGTGTGGTTTTGGTATCATGGTAACTGTAGCCTCATAAAAAGAGTTTGGAAAAGTTCCTTCTGTTTCTATTATGTGGAACACTTTGAGGAGTATAGGTATTAGCTCCTCTTGGAAGTTCTGGTAGAATTCTGCACTAAAACTATCCAGCCCTGGCCTTTTCTTATTTGGGAGGGGGTTTTTTGTTTTTGTTTTTTGGTTGGGAGCTTCTATTTCCTTGCAGTTTATAGGTCTATTTAAATTGCTCTTATGGTCTTGATTTAATTTTGGTATATGGTAATCTACCTAGAAAAGTGTACTTTTTTTTTACATTTTCCAATTTTGTGGAGAACAGGTTTTTACAGTATGACCTAATGATTTTCTGAATTTCTTCAGTGTCTGTCATTATGTCCCCCTTTTCATTTCTGATTTTGTTAATTTGAATGTTCTCTCTCTGCATTTTGATTAGTTTGGGTAGGGGTTTGTTTATCTTGTTGGCTTACTCAAAGAACCAGCTCTTTGCTTCATTGATTCTTTGTATTGTTTTCTTTGTTTCTATTTTGTTGATTTCAGCCCTCAATTTGATTATTTCCTGTATTTGTCTCCTGGGTGAGTCTGCTTTTTTTTTGTTCTTACAGGTGTGCTGTTAAGTCACTGATGTGAACTTTCTCCATTTCCTTTAATGTGGGCACTTAGTGCTATGAACTTTCGTTTTATCACTGTTTTCATTGTTTCCCATAGGTTTGGTTATGCTGTGCCTTCATTTTCATTGAATTCTAGGAAGTCTTTAATTTCTTTCTTTATTTCTTTCTTGACCCACGGGTGGTTCAGTAGTTCACTGTTCAGTTCCATGAGTTTGTAGGCTTTCTGAGAGTAGTATTGTTGTTAAGTTCTAAACTTAATCCATGGTGATCAAATAAGACACAGGAACACAGGGCGTTACTCTTTGTGTGTGTGTGTGTGTGTGTGTGTGTGTGTGTGTGTGTGTGTGTGTAGAGGTTTGCTTTGTTACTGAATCTGTGATCAATTTTAGAGACAGTTCATAGGTTCTGAGAAGAAGGTATATTCTTTTGTGTTTGGGTGGAATATTCTATAGATGTCTGTTAAGTTCATTTGATTCATGACATCTGTTAGTTCTCTTATTTCTCTGTTAAGTTTCTGTCTGGTTGACCTGTCCATTGGCAAGAGTGGAGTGTTGAAGTCTTCTACTTTTAGTGTGTGGGGTTTGATGTGTAATTTGAGTTTTAGTAATGTTTCTTTCACATATGTGGGTGCTCTTGTATTAGCGGCATAGATGTTCAAGATTGAGACTACATCTTGATTGATTGTTCCTGTTACGAGTATAAAGTGTCCTTCTTCATATCTTCTGATTGATTTTAGTTTGAAATCTATTTTGTTAGATAGTAGGATAGCTACACCTGCTTGTTTCTTAGATCCATTTGATTGGAAAATCTTTTCCCAACCCTTTACTCTGAGGTAGTGACTGTCTTTGAGGTTGAGGTGTGTTTCTTGTAAACAGCAGAAGGCTGGATCCTGTTTTTGCATCCATTCTCTTAGCCTGTGTCTTTTTATAGGTGAATTGAGTCAATTGATAGTAAGAGATATTAATGACCAGTGGTTGTTAATTTCTGTTAATTTTCAGTAGTAGTGTTTGTGTGTTCCCCTTCTTTGGGTTTTGCTGGTTGGTGTGATCTGTTGCTGCTGGTGGGTGTTATCTGTTGCCTGTGTTTTTTGTGGGTGCAGTTAGCTTCATCGGGTTGGGGTTTTTCTTCTAGTACTTTCTGTAGGGCTGTGTTTGTAGATACATATTATTTAAATCTGGGTTTGTCATGGAATTTCTTGTTTTCTTCGTCAATATGATTGAAAGCATAGCTGGGTATAGTAGTCTGGGCTTACATCTGTGATCTCTTAGTGTCTGCAGCACACCAACCCAGGACCTTCTGGCTTTCATGGTTTCCATTGAGAAATCGTGTGTACTTCTGAAAAGTCTGCTTTTATATATTACTTGACCTTTTTTCCTTTGCAACTTTTAATAGTTTTTCTTTATTCTGTATATTTTGTGTTTTGATTATTATATGGCAAGGGAACTTTTTTTTATCCAGTCTATTTGGTGTTCTATAAGCTTCTTGTACCTTCCTAGGTATATCCTTCTTTAGGTTGGGGAAATTTTCTTTTATTATTTTGTTGAATATATTTTCTGTGCTTTTGAGCTGGAGTTCTTCTCTTTCTTCTGCCCCTATTATTCTTAGGTTTGGTCTTTTCATGGTTTTCCAGATTTCCTGGATGTTTTGTGTTAATAATTTGTTGGATTGAATGCTTTTTTTTTTTTTTTTTTTGGTCAATGAGTCTATTTCCTCTACAATGTCTTCAATACCTAAGATTTTTTCTTTTATCTCTTGTATTCTGTTGGTTATACTTGTCTCTGTAGTTCCTGTTTATTTACCCAGATTTTTCATTTCCAGAATTCCCTTGGTTTGTATTTTCTTTATTGCTTCTATTTCAGTCTTCAAGTCTTGAACTGATTGCTTCATCTCTTTGATTGTTTTCCTTGGTTTTCTTGGGTTCCTTTGAGGGTTTTATTAATTTCTTCTACCTTTTGGTTTGCCTTTTCTTCCATTTCTTTAAGGGAGTTTTTCCATTTCCTCTTTAAAGGTCGCCATCATTTTCATAAAGTTACATTTAAAATTGTTTTCTTCTGCTTCTTCTGGATCGGGATGATCAAGTCTTCCTGTTGTGTGACTGACCACTGGGTTCTGGTGTTACCATGTTGCTTTTTAGGTTGTTGGATAAATTCTTGCATTGACACCTACCCATCTCTTCCTTCAGATGAGGCCGGCAGTGTCTTTGTGTCTTTGTGTCTTGGTCCAATCCTATCAGCGGCTGTCTGAGTTTTTGGGAATTTTTCTTGGTCTGCTATGTACTGTCAGTGTCTGTGTCTCATAATGCCTCTGTGGTCTCTCTAAGCCCGCTCTCTTGGTCTTCCCTCTTGGTCCCCTCAGTGCTGTATCAAGCTCTTAGTCCTCTCAGTATTGTAGCAAGCTGTGTTTCAGAGTTCCACTGAGGTTTCAGGATGCTAGGTGAGTTTGGGGATGGGGTGGGGCTAGGAGCTTGAAGGGTCAGGTGGATGGAGTTGGGTGTTGGGGGAGCCTACCTGCAGGGAACTCTCCTACTGGCTGGCTAGAAAATTTGCAGGAGTTGGAGGAGGGGCCTGGAGTTTTGTCCCACTGTGGAGGCCCTACAGAGTGAGGTGTCCCACCGTGTGGATGTTCACTCACCTCAGTATTGGAACAAGCTGTTTCAGAGTTTCCACCTGATAATTTTAAGACATCTGTTTCCATGCATCGTGTGTCCAGTACCATCAACTAATAATCTTAAGGCACCTGTTTCTTCAGTGGAGAAGTAAATGTGGCATTACAAACTTAACTTATAGAAACACTAGCTTCTATAATTACTGTGAAGATTGTTTTTGACTGAAATTTGTTCAAAATTAACCAGCAACATACTGTCCAAGCTTTTCAGTGGAATTATTTTGTGAGTATGGGAAGGGAGTCCATGCATTCCTTTTCCTCCTTCCCCAACATCTCTTACTGTGTGTGTGTGTGTGTGTGTGTGTGTGTGTGCATGCGTGTGTGTATCTGTGTGTATACATGTGTGTATATGTGTGTGTGTGTGTGTGTGTGTGTTTGTGTGTACATGCCTATGTTCATTTTCAGCAGCCAGGGGCTGTCTGTTCTATCCACCCTTCATCCCCATTCCCTGACCACAACACTGGAGTTTCAGGTGCATGCACTTCTTTGTGTAGCGTTTTAAGTGGGCACTGGGGATTCTAGCTCTGGTCCTCATGCCTTCACACCAAGTGCTCTTACTACTGAGTCATCTCACCGGACTTCATTTTTCTTTCTTCCTGTTTACAGTGCTAGGGATCAACCAGGCACGTCATAAATGTTAGGCAAGCACTCCATCCTCGATGGAGTTTAAACCCCCAGCCCATTTCTAATATTTTAAGAATTATTAGTTCCAGTGACTCAAAGATTTTTCTTGCCCCCTTGCCTTTCTTTTCCCTTTCTGTGTTAATAATTGGGCCCCTATTCTGCGGTCTGTAGCTTTCATAGCAACTCAAAGACTCATGAGCAGCATGTCATGCTGTTATGTGTGGTTAAACACATATCTAATATTGGTTATTATTAAAAACTACAAATATCGTCTGTGGCTTTCTTCTGTTGTCAGGTCATGTATGTTTTATTTTACTATTTTCAGAATTTAAATTTATGAGTTTCTTATTAATACTACACATTAAAAATAAATTAGTATTTCTATGTGTTTTCTGGTTTTTCAGTTTTCAAACCATTTTCCCACAAAAATTATTGTAGTCACCTTACTTGTTTAAGAGTTTTTCTGAATAATATATCCAGAAATAGAACTACAGGGCTGCAGAGTATGTGCATTTTTAATTTGACATGATTTGCCAAATTTCCCTATGTGAAGATTTGAATTTCTGAGAAGCTTATAAATATTTGTATTTTCCCATATTTCAACTGCAATATGAAATATGATGCTTATTTGTTTGTTTGTTTGTTTGTTTGTTTGTTTGAGACAGGGGTTCTCTGCAGCTTTGGAGCCTGTCATAGAAGAACTAGCTCTTGTAGACCAGACTGGCCCCGAATTCACAGAGATCCGCCTACCTCTGCCTCTGCCTCTGGGATTAATGGCGTTCGCCACCACTGCCCGACCCCTTGTGATGCTTCTTTAGATGAAATCAAGATGTCCCTGCTTCGTTAATATTTTCCAGCTAACCTCATGGGGCTGTCTTCTGGAGTCCTGATCTGCGAGGGGAGTGTCCCAGGAGGAAGGGAAAGAAAGCCTGTCTGCAAATGTCATTTTGGTCCATTTATAAGCAGAGACCCTAGAGTGGCCCTGTCCTGTTGATGCTTCTGCTCATGCCGATATTTCCAATGTGGTGACAGATTAGATATGAAGGTTAGTGCTAATTACCAATTTGACAGGATCTGGAATCACCTGGAAGATGGGCCTTGGGGCGTGGCTGAGAGGGGTTGCCTTTATAACGCAACGAGAGGTGGGGGCAGTCCACTCACTGCAGATGGCACCTTCCCTAAGTGGCGAACCCGACTGTAGAAAGTGGAGAAAGAGAGCTGAGCCCTAGCATTTCCTTTCCCTGCTTCTTAAGAAATATTTTGAAAATCTCTTTTTTATGGATGTTTTGCCTACCTGCATATCTGTGCACAATGTGAGTGCTTGGTACCCCTGCAGGCCAGAAAAGAACACTGGACCCCCTGAAACTAGAATTGGAAGCAGGTGTGAGCCGCCACCAAAGCCAGTTTCTCTGAAAGAGCATCCGGTGTTCTTAAGCACTGAGTCATCTCCGTCCCCTCTTGCTGCTTCTTGACAACAGATGCAATGTTACCAACAACCTCTGACTCCTGCCATCATGACTTCCCGGCTGTGGAAGACATGGAACCATGACTTGAAATAAATTCCTTCTCTTTTAACTTGTTTTGGTGGATTGAAGATGTTTGTTTACATTTTTTAGATTGGCTATCACTCACTATGTAGACTGGGCTGATCTTGAACTCACAGACCCACCTGCTTTTGCCTTCGGAGCACTTAGATAAAAGGGGTGTATAATAATGCCCAGCTCTTGTCTGAGTATTTTATTATACCAATAGAAAAAGAAACTAAAATATTGATCCACCCATGAAGTGTGAACATGAGACTGAAGAACTGGATCTCTGAATTGTATTCATGCATTGTTCATGGTTGTCATGTCTGGAAACACAGCCGTAGGTGAGCTGTTCAAGTGCCAGTTCAATCATTTGATATTTGACCTGATGCAAGTCACTGAATCAGTGCATTACAAAACGGAGAATTTTACAAGTTGCTGTATTAAGTTTAGACGAAATAAAAGGCTTGGAAGGGTTTTAAAGGGTGCCTGGCAGCACTCTATGAATTTTTGTTCTTGTTTTACTAGCAGGAGTACATGTTTCTATGTATTGTTGGCTATTTCCATTTCTGTTGTGTTTCTTTGTATAAAACATTTTTCTATTTCACTATCTGGTCATTTAAAAAAATCTCTTAGGTTCATTTCAAATGAAATGAATCATGAGGAAGACTGTAGTAAAATACAATATATTCTAGAATCCCAAAGAGAACAAACAAAAAATAATATGTACTAAAAGTGTAGATAAACACACTTAATACAGGAAACATTTCAAGTGTCTCTAATGAAATTTGTAAAAGAAGAGAATATGAAGGAATAAAAAATGAAGTTTTTTAGGATTGAAAGCAGTATTTTGGAAGCTGAAGTTATACTTCATTGGTGTCCTGGGTGCAATTTCCAGGACTGAAAGAAAATGAAAGCAAAAAACCAGAAACAAAATCCAAGACATTTCTTTAGAGAGACACACAAATGGTCAAAAAGTATATGAAAAGAATGCTCAGCATAATGAATCACCAGGGAAATTCAGATCAAGGCTACCATGAGATATTGTCAAGTGTGACTACTGCTATATAGCTGCAATCACAGTGATGTGGACATCGTGAACTCTTGGTGGTGCTGTGGAATAATCCTTTTGTACACTGTAAAGATTTATCACTTGAATTGGTTTAATAAAATGCTGATTGGCCAGTATCCAGGCAAGAAGTATAGGTGGGGTGATCAAACTAAGGATGATGGGAAGGAGATGGGTAGGGTCAGGAGTCGCCAGCTAGATGCAGAGGGAACAGGAGATGAATGTGCCAGGGTAACAAAAGTACCACCGGGTGGCAGAGAGTAGATAAGAAACATGGATTAATTTAAAATGTAGGAGTTAGCAAGTAATAAGCCTGAGCTATTGACCAAACATTTATAAGCAGTATTAAGCCCCTGATTTGATTATTTGGGAAGTGGCCTCCAGGTATTTTGGAACCGGAGGACATAGAGAAATGTCTGATTACAAGGTGGTTAACCAATCTAGCCAAAATAACTAGTCCCAGATTCAGTAAGAAATTCTGTCTCAAAAAATAATGATGGAAAACAACAGAGGAAGATGTCTGTGCCTGGCTTCCATAAGTATATGCATAGGTGAGCACTCCACACATAGGTACAGGTATGGAACATACACACACACACACACATACACACACACACTCAATTGAAAAAAAACAAATTGAGAAATAAATGCAATTTGTAAAGAAAGGCTCGAGAGATGGTTCAAGTCATTAAAGGCTAGGATCCCGACCAAAAAAATGTAAAATTAGAAAAGAAAAAAAACAAATCTCAGGATAAAGGTATGCCTTGCATATGAAGCAGGAAAATTTGGTATAAGGCCACATCTAGGTACTTGATAGTTATCATGGTTTAGACTTGAAATGTCTCTCATAGTATCATGGTTTGAATGGCTGTTTCCCCACTGCTAGTACTATATTGGGAGGCCCAAAGTCTTTAGGAGTCAAGGCCTGGTTGGTTGAAGAATGTCACTAAAGGAAAGCTTTTGGCAGTTATATCCACCCTCATTCTCATTCTCCTGTGTACTCTCCACTTCCTGATTGTTGTGATGTGCACTGCCTCAGTCACACACATTCACTGTCATGGCCTGACACCACCTTCCCCATCATTGTGAACTGAGCTGAACAACACTGGCTTCATCATTGTTATGTATTGATATGGACCACATTCACTTCCCCATCGTTACGAATTGAGATAGACAACATTGGCTTCACCATCATTATTAATTGAGATGGACCACTTGACTTACCCATCATTATGAACTGATACCAGAAGTTCATAAGAAACAAGCCAAAAATAAAATCTTTCCTCATTAAGTAGTTTTTGTCAGCTAATTTGATCAAAGAGACACATAAGTAACTAACACTGTAAGTGGGGGAAGGAGAGAAAATCCAAAATCTAACAACCCCATTGATTTTTGCTTTATAAGTCTTTATTGGCTTATTTTTTTTCCCTTGGTGAAAGATATGTTTGATAATTATTTGACAGCAATGACTCAGTGGTTAAAGCAGTTGCTGAATACGAGTGAGGATTGGAGGTTTCGAATCTTAAAAGCTACATAAATGTTAGGTAGGTATGGATGCACACTTGTGATTCCATCCTTGGAATGTGGAAGCCCGGGTTCCCACAGCAAGATGGCCATATGTGCAAACTCTGCATTTGACCAAGAGAAGAGACCTCCTCAATGAATCAGGTGCAAGAGCAATTGAGGATTCCTGGTATCAAATTTCGGCCTCCACAACATGCGTATAGACAGTTATTTACAGCAAGCACACACACATGAAAAATTAAAGAAAGAGTACTTTTGTATAGATTTTTAAGTGGCAATTTTTTTGAATGACAGTCTAGCAGAATATTAAATTCTAAAAGGGTCATTCCTCTCCTTATCACTACAGAGTTGCTAGGTCTTGGGGCCTTGAGTAGAGCTCACCAAAACTCCTTGTCAGTGAAACTTTCATTCATTTCAGGTTAAATATATTAAAATTATAAGTAATTTAAAAATATTTTTAATGTATCAAAATAGTAACAAAAGGTGACTAAGTGCAATCCAAAGACATAAGACCTTTGTGAAGGAACTGGCAAAGCATCCTCAGAAAGATCTGTGTGCCCTAACACATAGGCTAGGTCTGTGGATATTCTTATATTTACATATGACAATAGGAACCCTTCTGTATACATTATAAAGGTATATGTGATTGGATATCTCAACATTCCCTTGAATAAGATGTGACAAACTTGTCTTTTAATTAGGATGGAGCCAGAAAAGGCCAAAAATAAGGCAGTTTTGAAGAGCAGTGAGAGAGTGAAGTCTTGTCCTCCCTGGCAAACATATGGAAGATCATATAATTAAGAGAGAGTGACGTTGGTAAGAGGCTAGAATAGGAAACGCATAGACTGGAGTAAGCAACTCCTGTTCACTTATGGTCTGATCTTCTAGCTGTAAGCTTCCTTTGTCTGTTTAAAAGTTAGCTTTGCAAGTTCACTCAGAGGCAACTATAGTACTGCTTTTCCTTGCCTGTGTCTTCTTTAAATGCTGACTTTCCCATCACGGCTCCTTACCTCCAATCTAGAACTAGGTCTTACGTGTTTGGGGGAGCAGGGTATGCAGTGGTATAGGAAATGCTTTAAGGGGTGGCTAACCTGTCGGCTTCTCTAGGCCACACTGGGCAAAGATTGTCACAGGCTGCACATTGTAGGCTCAGTACAGTGAGCTGCTTCCTTCCTGATTTGGGATGATCCTGTAGTGGTGATCAATGAACTCAGTGGAGCAGCCTTCATTTGTTTCTGTTGGTTATTTTTTTTCTTTTTAAATACCAAGAAAGTCCCACCAGTGTGAGTTTTGAACTTCTACCTTAGATGCTCAGCCTCCAGCACCCATTAGAAACTGCATCTTCAGCCACCAACTGCCACTTTCTAACAAAAGGCCAGCAAGCCAGAAGGGGTTAGCTCTATTCCTTGTTGCCTTGGCCTCTTGTTCTTCAGCAGCCTTTGTGAAGTGTCTGAATCACCGGGGCAAGTAGATATTACAAACCCGAGTCGATGGAGCCATCTTGAGCAGCACTCTTTGAGATTGCCATAAACTCTCTTTGGAGTTCCCTCCCAGGGAAATGAAAGAGCATGATTTCATATCTATGCTATAAAAACTGTAAAAAACCATCTAATCTGAGTCAAAAAAAAAAAAAAACCCAAACCCTGGAGAGTCTGTTGAATTCTAGGCAAACTCAGTGAGTCCTTCTCTTGGCATCTTTGCATATGAAAGCGAGCTATGGAAATAAAATGTTCTTGTTTACATATGTGACCCCCACTCCAAGTTCCTGCCTGCCCCAAACAACCAAGCATCTATTCTCCTGTAGAAAAACTGTCTGTCGGCGGTGTTCTCTAAGTTCTGCAGGACCCTGAAACGCTTCTCACTTGGAGTCTTGTGATAACATTGCTTTTTAGAGTTCCACCAGCAAATTTTGAATGTGGGAAGTCCCGCTTCAAACCCACTTACAAACTGTTAAATTTGATAGAACCCGTATACTTTCCAATATTATAGTCAGCAGCTTTCTCTGCTTTTCAGAGCAAACTCCACTGCACGATGGGGTTTCCTTCTGTATGGCTGTGTGTGTGGTACCTGTGTGTGCAGATGTATGTGCATATGGGAGTCAGAGATTGATGGCGCGTGTCTTGCTCTATCACTCACCATATCATCCTGCTCCTTCTCCTCCTCCTCATTATTATTATTTTATTATTATTAATATTATTACTGACAGGGTTTTTCATGGAACCTGAAGCTCGCTGTTTCAGCTGGACTAGCTGGTCATTGAGGTCTGGGGATCCATGTGACGTCATCCACCTCAGGTGTAAATAGACTTGCACCTCCCTACCTGGCTTTTACATGGGTGCTGGGGATCTGAACTCAGGTTTCCATGCTTGCATGGCAAGCACTTTACTCTCTGTTGGGGTCTCACATTGGGCTGACATCTGTCGGGGTCCAGTCTTGACAGGTTTGTACGT